ATCAACTTCTCCTTCTAACTATGAAACTGTTTAATTATGAACAAACTTGTTAAGTACTAGAAGTAGTCTAAGACAGGATGAGAAAGATGAATTTGATGAGAAATTCTGGCACAAAATATCTGATTACCTGCCAGGGTCACTTCATTGAAAACTCATTTGTGGGCTCAGTGAAGCAATTCCACTTTTGACATGCCAGCATTTTAATGTTATATATATTCCATCGTATCTAGTTAAACGTTAAAGATCAGCAACTTGGCCTTTCAGAACTATGAAGGCGACCTCCTTACCTCTTCGGGCGGCCTGCAAAGTCTTAACAGCAAAACCATCTAAGAGTACTCCAATGAGTCACGAGGCTGTTTTAGCTTTTCACCGGCATTGCATACCTGATTACATTTGGATTCTTACCAAGCTAGTTAATGCAATACTGATAGCTGCCTTATTAGTTTACAGATTATTTTTCAAATTCAATTTGCTTACACATAAAAGAATCTACATTTGAGAATTATATTGACTCAATTATCCATATAAATAAAGTGTAAGGAGAGTTACATTGATAAATAAAATCCAGAAATAATTTAAGAACTCATTATTTGCTCAAGAATTTTAAATTTCTTTCCAACCTGCAACCAAGTCATTTTAAATATCGCTGCTAAAGCAAACTAAGCAACAACATAAAAATTGTCCCAAATACACTCAGTACACAAGTGTACTCAGCTCTTTTGCTTTCTTCATAGCTTTTTGACCTCTGAGTGACCACAGTTTAGTAGTCAGATAACAGGTTTTAAGTGGAACAAACATCTAGATGACCCTACTCATTTTAGCACATGTAAGAAGAACACAGTGAGAAGCTTGTGAACAAGGAGAGAGTCACCCCTGCATTAGATAGTTAAACACTAACCACTGGTGTATAAAGACCTCGTAAATACTGGAAATCAATGAAGAATCATAGACATTTTAGAAACAGATATTAATAATATACATACATTTATGTGGAGAGGTTATATAAAATAATGACTAGTACTAAGAGTATAATAACTTTGGAATGCAATGTGTCAGTATCTATCAAAATCACAACTGCATACAACCTCTGAATTGGTAATTCCACTTTTAGAAATTTACCCTCTATAAGTAGTCATCTATGTGTGCAAAGCTATATGTACAAACATGTTATTTGTAGTCATATTTGTAATAACAACAGCTAAAAATAATTAAAAAATCAGTTTCCATTCTTATTCAGACACACACACACACATTCTAATAACATTTATCATTTGATATCTATATGCCAGGCCCCATGCCAAGTGATATTCATCTATCTACTTATGTATCTGTACATTCATATAACATTGAATATTTCATGTATGTATGGGTGTATACACACATATCTATATTTACTTTGAAATATCTACTTTGGATGTGTGAATTTTCCATTTTCATCTGGATTGTGTTGTGCAATATAGGCACAGCCTTATGTGTACTCATGTGATGGGTAAATGAGGCTTATGATTTTCAGCATGTTCACTAGAGTATTTGAAGTGCTTCAATAGCCACAATTTGCTCAGTGTCCTTAGACTCTCCCTGATCTTCAATACAGGATTGCCTGGCACAGGAGGCTGGAGAGTGGGCTGACTCTACCTGAACATTTCTAGGGACCCAGCTCCTGTAGGGAGGCCAGGCAGGGCAGGGCAGTCATGTCTCCCAAGGTTGTCAGCTCCTCATAGCAGCACCCCTGTGAGAAGTCCTGCTCCATTTTATAGCTGCATCAAGGATTGTGGCTTCCAGCAAAAGCTGACATTCTCTGGCTTGTAAATTTCTTGAACACTATAATTACTGAACTTCAGATTAGTATTAAACAATTATGCAATCCAATAAATTTAATCAACACTAAATAAATTAAATCAGCAGACATTTTTGCACCCACAGAATGTATCAACAAAAGCTATGGGGGACTCTATGAACTTGCAGAAACTGTGTAAGTTGGATTCTCAGAGAGAACTATAGCACTGCATTACCCCCTCCGACTAAATTAGAAATTACTTGCTCAGAGATTCAAGTTGCCCACTTTGAGATACATTTCAATGACATTCATAATTCACTTAAATTAGAAATGATTCTCTTTAGAAATTATTATACCTGACTACTCTGAAATTCTAAATGCGTTTTAAAAGAACTTACAGTAGTGCCACAATTATTTACAGGAATAGATGACTTTTAACTGGTCCTGGGTTAAGCATTTTGTGGAATAAAGTCTTTAGAGTAACATCCACTGATATTATTGTTATTATACACTACAGACTATCTGAAAGGGATTTCAAGAGATAGAAATCCTCAAACAAATTAAATTAATCCTAGTACTTGTTTACCAAGTATCCTACTTGCCACATGTCACATAATTCCACTAATATACTCAGATGAAGTCCTAACAATGCTCATTGGAAGCCATGCTCTGCCTGATTACACTTGGTGCAGTGGGATGGGGAGGACCACAGGTTCTAGGGCCAGATGGCCTGGGTTCATACCCAGTTTAATCACTTTTTAGTGCTGTGACATCAGGCAAGTTACTTCACCTCTCTGATATGTAGTTTCCATTGTTCTGAAACAGGGGTGATAATAATACCTTTTCCATAAAGTTGTTGCAGTGATTTAATGAAAAAAAAAAAAACACATAATGAGTGTTAACCATCATTGGATTAAGCCTTAAGTTAAACCAAAGGCAACAATGTAGGTTGGTTCCATGTTATTCAAACTTAGCAATGGGACCTAATTTATGTAATGGATTTGTTTCTGCCCAATGTAGAGAGCTAGTTGGTTAGATATGTAATGACTCATTAGTTTATTTAAAAAGTGAAAACACAATTTTGACAGACTGGATGGCTTCAGGGAAAAGGATGTAACTGCCTAGGGAAGGAGTAAAGGAATTTGAAATGAAAGGAAACCTAGGTGCTTAGTCAGATAATAATTTCCCCACTTAACGGAAAACACTCATTTGATCAGACAGAAAGTAAAATGGTTCTGGAAGAGCTGATATACATCTGATCTGGAGGTAACACAACAGACAAAAACATTCTCAATCCCACCTTCCACACTGTACTTCAGCTGCTGGCTTTTTTAGGGAGGTTTCTAATGGGACTAGATGTGTGAGTTTTTAAACTAAGATCTTCCTAAACAGAACTTCCATAAAATTCTGAGCAAACCTAACAAAACTAGATTATAATCTCCCCTTTGTGAGGGATCTTGTTTCACTTTTTAATTTCTCACAATACCTTGTATTGAAAGTTTCTCTGTTCCAGTTTGATGAATTGAATTGAAATGCCTCTGCCAAATGGTGTGGTATGACTTAGACTGTGGGACTCCTTAAAGAACAAATGGGTCACTTCTTGTCCTGCTAGAGTTGTGACTACATATTAACAACTATTTTCATTGCACACTTCTCCAAAAAAAAAAAACCTGTAGAGTTCATCAGAACCAGTTGCCATCAAGGATTTTGGGATTTCTTCAATTTATCCCCTGTTTCCTAAAGCATTTCCCTCCAGATCCTGAATCATAACCTGAGTCTCATCTCTAAATCTCAGAAATGTGTGGAATTCTTTTAAAATATGGCTATTAGGGTTAGGATTTCCATTCATGAAGGGAAATGTATAAGTCTGCCTTATGGTAACCATTTCTACCACAGAGGTCAGAGTATCCCTTACAGCAAGTCCCAGCCCTATAGTCCATTTTTCTGTCTTGTACTGAGGCTAGGGGTGGCCTTTGGCAATTTCAGAAAGTGCATTCTCATTTCCTTACACTTTGGTTGTGCTTTTATATAGAACTTCTATTGCTGCTGGTGATGAGAAGGTTGAGTTTTAGATATCTGCATAGCTCTTTACAATTTTCCATCTTTTTTCACTGGTTCTCTTATCACCACAGATCCATAGAAGGGGGCACTAGCAGCCTTATCATAGAGTTGTGGGAACTGAGACCAGAGGTGTTGGGATGCGTCCAGAGTTCCAAAACACCCTGGAGTCAAACAGTATGGGTGCATATGTTCTGCCTGGTTCTTTAAGCCTGTTTCCTTTGATATGTGTGTGGTAATCACACAGCAATATTAACTACTGAAACCATTGTAGACTTTAAGTGCTTCTTGGTCCCTGAAATAATCAACAGGGTACAGTCATATGTCTTGTACTTTGGAACCTCACAAATTTTGGCCTGATCTTCTGGCTCATTGTGAGACTTTCAACATCCTATCATTCATCTGTAAAATGGTGGAAATATCTACTTGAGGGCTGCAGGAAGGAGTCTGGGAAGTAACATATCTAACCCAGATATGTTGTGACCATTCAACTAAGAGCCACTTGCAACAGATGAAGTTTTTCCAACTCACCTGCCTGGGCTTCTTTCTTCTTGGCCCTCTGTTTCCTAAAAACCTACTTCAGCTCCCTCACTTTCAGGGTCCTCAGAAACAATGGTTCCCAAAGTTAATATGCATATGAATCACCAGAGCACATTATGATGCAGAATCTGATGAAGTCTGGGGTAGATTTGCATTTCTAACAAACTGTCAGGTAATGTCAACTGCCAGTTTGTGTACTACACTTTTGAGCAGAGAGGATATACCCAGATAACTGGAGTTCAGAACTAATGGTTTTCAAACTTTACAGTTTAACATAATCACATAGACAGCTTTTAAAAATACAATCATTCTGCTCCACCCCAGAGTTTCTGATTTGATAGGTTTGGGGTGAGTAGAAAAAAAAAATCTTCTTTTCTAATAAGTTTCCAATGATAGTAATGCTGATGGTCATGGGACTGACTACACTTGTCTTAATAAGTTTAGCAGAAGTTTACTAGACCAGAGAGAATTTTAGACCAGAAGATAATTTGGGTCCAAAGACTACTGTTAGGTGGGGAAGAATATTCTTGAGGAATCTTTTTCTAAAGACTGTCTCATCTCCCTCTTTCCAGCTGGGACCCTCCCAGAAGCCCGCCAGGATATTAACAAGGAGCCGGTTCTTTACCTTGTAGACATTGATAGGAATGTCAATGACGATGTGCAGCAGGTCTCCCAGGGCCAGGCTGGCAATCAAGATATTGGGACCGTTTCGCATGCACTTGTTCTTGTAGATGATTCTCAACAGTGTGGAGTTCCCGATGATGCCTAGCACGAACACTAGGCAGGATACAACCGTGTTGATATATTTGAATGTCTCCTTGATTTCAATGTTTCCTTGGCATGGGGGAAGGGAGGGAGTGCGTGGCGGGGGTCCTGCCACTCTCCCTCTTTTAGGCTTCTGTGCAGGTGCTAAGGACTGTGACAGGCTGGAGTTGGAACTTCCCGACCAGGAGGTCTTAGTAGGCGGCGTCATTATCTCTCGGGTCCCCAGAAGCCACGAAGTGGCGCGGGCTGGCGGGAATCCTCTCTCCTCTCCCCTGACCCCCGCTACGCCGCAGGCAAGAACCAGCGCCATCAGGGCGCATCCGCACAGGCTTGGCGGCGTCAGCATGCCGCTTGCTTCAGTGGGCGTCCGGTGACCGCTGTGCTGCTTTTAGTCTGGATTCCGGCAGGGGAATTAAGACAGGACACTAGGATCAGCTACCACAAGTCCAACTCTGCGAACGCTAGCGCAGAGCTCAGAAGCGTCTCCACTACCCGCGCGCGCAAAAGTAACTTAAGTTTGCGCGCCAGTGGGGAACTTTGGCTAGCGTCACCCGCCCGGGCGAGTTGATTCTCCTTCCCGACTCCTCTTCCAGTGTTATTTCCTAAGTCCGGCCAAGGGGTAAATCACTGGCAGTGGGGCGGGGCATTCTGGAAGGGGTGTGACGGGGAGGGAAGGATGTGTGTCCCAAGCAAAGCTTGCAGCTCTTCGATGTGCAGGGAGAAAGACAAGTATGTTTTAGTTAAACGTGGGGAATAAGGCATCAAAGCAGCATGAGGCCAAGGGCATATGCTATTTGCCACATTTTGCTTTGTAAGGGAACTTCAACCACCCAGCGTCTGAATTTAAAGACACCTCTGGGCGTGCGAAAAGCCGCTACTCCCTGGTGGACTGCAAAAAGGTTACCCCTGGCACCGCCCTGGAATGCTTCTGTGGACTAAGAAAAATCTGAGACTTCTCAGCTCAGTCCAATTTAGGGGGATATCCGCTTTGAATTGGAAAGTTCTGCCTCTTCCAAGTGGCTTCCAGCACCCCACTTACTCGCCTTTACCCTAACCTCATTTTAATTTGCTGTATCTATAAGTTATGTGGATCTAGTTACTTAACCGCGCCCCCCAAACCAGTTAACCAAGCTGAAGCCCCAGAACAAGATCCAGTCACTGATATTAATTAGACGCTAAGCCAGAACGTTTACCTTGAAGATCCGACGCCCCAGGTTCATCCCAGACCTCGTTGCCCAGACGCAGAAGGGCCGCGCTCAGCTCGCAGCTAGGTTCCAGCCGGTTCCCGGAGGAGACCACGCCTCCCTGTACTGCAGGCGGGCCTGGTTCTGACGAAACGTGGAGAGAATGCCAGACTCTGTCGCTTCCACAGCTCGCTAAGGGTCTCTATTGTCCCCAGACAAGTACTTTTATTCATTCGTCTCTTCCCCATCCATCACCGCAGACTCCTCCCGCGCCTTCCGACCGCGCGGCAACCTTTCCCCTTGGGCGATGCCTGGACAGCATCAGCGGGAGCTGCTGGCTGGAGAGGGCAGTCCTCGGCCAGAGACGCATTCTAAAAGGCTGTTTATTTGTCATAGTTCTGAGTTCTTCCAAAGAAGAACTAAATCACGAGCAAGTAATCACGTACGCGTGATTCTCTGGGACTCCAGACTAGAAGGAGCTTCTGCATTAAACGTGTTAACCTGGACTTTAAATGCCGAGTTGAGTTTTCTTTCAGATAAATGTCCCGCGGTCATATTAAGGCCTGGTTGGTTTAGGGGTACTACTTTTCGCGGTGTTTTTGTTTTATCCTTAAGTTTCAAGTCCACAGACGCCACAACACGGAAGAGAGCGATCCTTTCTTCCCAGGCCCTCATTACACCAGAAAAGGCTCTCTCTTTTTGTTTAGCACAATTCTTTCTCTCTGAAGTCCTGAAGTGTCACTGCCAGGCCGTTTCAGGGATTTTGATATTGCACCTGTGACGGATCTGATACATACAGGAGATATGAAAATTATCAGAAAGCTATCATGCAAATTCAACATAGTATTTATTTACCAGGCAGAGCAATAAAATGGATTCTGCCTGCCATCCTTATGCTCCATTTTTATGGCACAGAGGGAAATAATAGTGACTGACAGATCTGCCCAATCCTGTCTAAAATTCAGGCTGTGAGGTGCAGTGGATGATACTCCTTTGTTCTCAACAAAGTCCTTGCAGAATCTGTGAAATTTCAGGCCCCAAAGGAACCCTTCCATGTAGCAGTTTGGCCCAGAGACTAGGTGGCTTGTTCTTGGCTTCCTAGCTAAGTAATGGAATGAGTGGAAGAAGAATCTTGGATTTGGGGCTCTTGTGAAATGCTTTATGCGAAACTAGAAGTAGAAAATCAATTTCTACTTTAAAAGGTGAACTTTCAGTGTGAAATATGGTTAAGAACATGATTAGAGTAAGGTGGAAGGAATGAGAAATATGGTCTGGGGTTGTGAGTAGTAATTCCAAATCTGGCTGCTTTGAGCACAGCCCTTATCCTCCTTGTCTCAGTAAAAACAAGGTCAACATTCAGTTGTTTCATACCAGAGCCCAGCAGCAATATACAGCCTTGTGTGGATAAGGGATTGTATGGGTGCATTTGGTGTATGAATATTTTGCTCAGTTGGCTCCACCAAGGGCAGTTTTGTACCTGTCCTTTTTAGGCCAGCCTTGTCTGCATACATCGGACCCTTGTAGGGTGGCTTTCTCTTCCCCATTCCCCCCTCATCTTTATCACCACCTCCATTCACATGTCCTCTACTGTTTCCAGGATGGTCTTTCCATTCCTCACTGAGGTTTACCTCTTCCCTTTTCTCATTGCGCTTTTTGACTGTTAACCACTGCTTAGCACTCAATCATAGGGACTTCTGTGAATTATTATTCATTTAATGTGAATTAATTTCTTTTTTGTTGAGCTCAAGAAATGTGTTCTACAAAAAAAAAGAAAGAAATGTGTTCACAGATTGACAATCCCATTTACACTATTTAATTGTACTTTTAGCAGTTCTAGTTGTCATACTCAAGAACAAAGCCAAATAATTTTAAGGTAAACATATATTTCTAATGTGGAATTGAAAACACAGTATGGGAACTATCATCTATATTAGGCACCTCATCCATAGAAACTCATTTACTTCCTTAGAGTAGTTGTTGAACTGGATATTATTTTTCATGATTCGATAAATGGTGAAATTGAGTCTCAAAAATTCACTTAAGATCACAAGACTAGTTGTGAGACCAGGACTTGGAGCTAGGATTTGAATCTACATCATCTGATTATGGAAAATGTAGTTTGGATTAACTTAATTACAGAGACTAAATCTTTTTTTTTCCTTATTTTTGAGAAAGCAGTGTTTTAAATTAATAATAGTTCATTGAAGTTTAACCTTAAAAAATTTACTTTAAAGTGTAAAGGTGATCACATAAATTAACACTTTAATCCTCATTATCAAGTCATAAGAAATTGGTATCACTTTTCCCTTTTATAAAAATAGGGAAAGGATTAACTTGTTTCCTGCTGTAATTAATCAGTCAGATTGACAAACTGACCTTGAAAGACTGACCTTGAAAGAGTACAGAACAGTGGGAACAGAAGAGTCTTTGGCCAACTTCCTTTTTCTTTTTACATTCTATTCTCATGCCTTGGTTAGTACTGGTATCACACAGTGTTTTTCACCCTATGGTTAAAAGTTTCTTACTAATCAACTTTATTTATAAATTCAATAGAAGTTAAATACTTTGCAAATTTCATTTGTATATATAAGCCAAATATTGTATCAAAGTTTAAGAAGTCTTTCCCGAAAACTTGTGGATATAGACTAATTTTGCCTTTCTGAAAATTTTACTTTGGGGGTGCTACATAAATGTGGAGTCGTTTACAAAGTTGCTTTTCTGAAGACCCTTTTTCAAAGTGTTCTAGGAAATCTGTCAAAATTCCAAATTGACTCAGACTACCTTCCAAAGTCAGAAAGGTGGTGATGGACAACATCTCAGTATCTCCCTCAAATGCTTTCACCAGGAAGTCCTAAGACAGGCTTGAATGCACTTCAGAATTCATTCCTCAAAGAGGCTTGCCATGGGGAGCTCACCAAAGCAAGCCTTTTCCCCTGGTAAGAGAAAAAAGAAAAGCCCTTTTAGCCACAAAAAGGCTAATGCTTTCATGTAATCCTCTTGATACGAATGTGCTTTTCTAAACCTACCTTGAACTTGCTAATTCATGAATGCTGAGGGACAAGGTGTGTGAAAAATGCAGAGAGAGTTGGTTCAATTGCTATTCCACACATTCCCTGAGGATCAGATCCAATGATCAAACAGTGGTTGAAGTGAGAGCATAAAAAAGATTTAAAGTGACTGCACAAATCAATAGCAAACAGCAGGAACATTTCTATTTCTTGGATTTTTCTCTTATATTAGGTGACTATAGTTATGTGGGCCTTATGTCTAAGGAATTTTTTAAAAAATTAAAGTATAATTTATGTACAGCTATATGAACAAGACTTAAGTACACAGTTTGAAGAGCTTTGGCAATTGTATACAACCCCATGACCCATAGCTAAAGGGCTTTTTGAAAATGCATTTATTTTTGCCAAGTAACAAAATCTGAATATTTTTGATTTGGCTACTATTTCTACTAAACCTTTCACTCAACAGTTACTAATATGGCATTATGTAAAAATGTGGATGTGTAACCGATGTGATTCTGCAATCTGTATTTGGGGTAAAAATGGGAGTTCATAATCCACTTGAATCTAATGTATGAAATATGATATGTCAAGAGCTTTGTAATGTTTTGAACAACCAATAAAAAAAAGGAAAAACAAAAACAAAAACAAAAAAGACATTATTTCTGCTTTACCAATTTATTTTATGTACATTATCAACTTCTGTAATTAAAATCTAGCTCATAAATTAGAAGTATGCTTAAAATGAGAAAATATAAGATTTGAATTTTATCCGTGATTAATTGATAGTACCTATAATCCACATCCCTAATGTAATGATAGACCTAAAAGTAATTAGAAAAGATGCATAATTGCTTTTTTTTTCTGTTTGTAGAGAATATGAGGATCAGGAAGGCCACACTTCCTTTTTTGTCTGTGGAAAAGAAAAACAACATAGTTCAGCTTCTTTATGGTCTACTTTAATTAAAGGGTAATGATTTTCTCCCCTTTTATGTAAGTAATTTTTTATTTATTTTCTGGCATATTTTTCTATACAAATCTCAGTAAAAGAAAATAAGTATAACTGGGTCTACAAACTTAAAACTTTTCACAGAAGTGTTTGGCACAATTAAAAATATATTAGAAATTCCAATATAAGCAGGAAGTCTGACCTATACTTTCATAGATGGTCAATGCATATGATATTTGCATAATTTATTTTTAGACCATTCAGTCATGGAGTAAACACTGTTGTAACTTTGTTAGCACAATCCTATCTGTGTAAGGCATTCTTCATATAGGGTATAATTTATGATGAGTGTATGCCTTTCTTCTGCAATTGTTTTCTTTAATTTTCCCCTTTCCCTGTTTCCATTCTCTTGATATGCAAATAGAGTGTCCTAAGAGATG